CTCATTAGGATAATTTTGATCACCCAGTTGGTCAAAATTGCCTTTGCGTAGGGTTTGTTGGCTGGTCGTTGAAGCGTGCGAAATGTACATGTACCATTGTAAAATAGGGGTATTTAGTTTGTGTGAATGTAGTGAAAATTGTAGGTGCAGGCTCATAGTACTTCAAAATAAACAAAAAGGTAATATTAATATTATACATCATTAGGTATACATTTTTTTAAACATTGTACAATGTGCCTATTACAGATGCTTCTACCATGCACTTGCATGACCCATTGAAAATGGTATGGTCTGATTATCAGATCTGAAACCGGAGTTTCGCCAAGGAGAATACGTGGGCTCAGCAGAATATCGTCATTTACATACTGTCATAACTACTGTATTTGTTATGTAAATACATTAAAAATATATCTATAAGTTTATCTACACATGCACAAACTGAAAATCAAAATAATATTTTAGGATTATGCAAATAACATTCTATATTTTAACTCCAAAACTAAGCTCCTTCTGCTCGAAAATACGGCCGGATACTTGTTTGCTATTCTAAAGCATTGGCTTCTAAACTGACTTGCTTCTGGTTGATTCTTACAAAAATAACAAGTCTGACGTCGTTTATTAACCGATCAAATTGATTTTTACATATGTTGTAGATGTAAAGTTTTACACGTACAAATTAAAAAAACCACGGTTACAAAATTAAAAAGTCCGACAAGATTTGGCAATTTTATGGATTAAAATTAAGATTACTATAACTTTTATTAAATTTTAAATAGGATGAAAGAACAATGGCGAAAATCGGACAAGTGGAAGTAAAGTTATGAAGAGAAATTTCCGAAAAAATATCGAAAACAGCTGAAAATCGACGGTTTCGAATTAAATTAAATGAATTTGCGACGATCAAACTTATCTTAATGGTTGCATGGAAATTTGCTCACGTTGTTCCTGTATATAAGGAGAATGGTGACAGGTGTTCCTTTGGATCTTATCGCCCCATTTCACTCACTTTGGTCATGTGTAAACTGATGGAGAGGATTTTACATGATCATATGTTTTGCTCGACTAATAACATAATTTCCCCTTGTCAATTTGGTTATAGGACGGGTTATTCTTGCAACCAAATTTTGAACAGGGTGTTACCACGAATGGCGAGTATTATTGATGTGAATCACCCCCCACCCCCAAAGTTCATGCAATATGTCTTGATTGGTCAAAGGCTTTCGACAAAGTTCATCATGTGTTACTTGGCTCTGCAAACTTAAATCAATTGGGATTGTTGGGGAAATTCACATGTGGAATTGTGATTTCCTTCTGCATCGTACTCAAATTGTTATTTTTAGTGGAGAATGCTCTCTGCCTGTTTTTGTTCAATCTGGTGTCACTCAGGGTTCCATACTGGGGCCGCTTCTTTTTATCCTGTTTAGTGATTTGCAAAACGTTGTTTCATCTCCCACCTCAATTTTCATGTGTGCAGATGATACTGTTATTTTTAGGTCCATTTCTTCTGAGGAAGATGCCATCAAGCTGCAATCTGAATCCACGCCAGGGTGAGCAAACTTTCACTCACTATGTATAATAGTTTATGTCTTCCCATATTAGAGTATGCGTCCCCAGTATGGAACCCCTATATGGAATGTGATATTGTCAGAGAGATTTCAGAGAGATTTCACTAGGTATTATTTTGGCCAGACTTCTTCTATTAGGATTGGGGATATTGGATAAATCTCCTATGAGCACCGGATGGCCGAATTGGGTTTTGTTTCTTTAAAAAAAAAAGTCGGAACGTCATCGATAAATGTTTTTTCTTTAAAGTGTTCAAAAGCCTACTGAACAAATAGTATAACTAAAATACCGGTAACATTTACATATTTACCAATTATATACAAGGCAATATACTTAAGTTTACATTCTCTAGACAGACTACATCAACAGCTACAAATCATTAGCATCATCAAATCAGTTGATAGAATATAATACTCTTTCTAATAGAAATCCCCAAAGCAACGAACTTGCTCATTCTTTTTCTCATAGGATTATTGACTGTTCAAATTGCCTTCCTTTACATGTGCATAATGGTAATTTTAATTTATTTAAGAAATTTGTTAAGGAATTGTTGATATAACTTTCTTGTTTCACTATACGTTTTACTGATGAATACATGTGGATCCCAAACAGTTATTGTACAGGAACTCCGTTCCTTTTGGTATGCCAGCCTCCCCATTCACTAGCAGTCTGTATACTCTTTGTTTCAATGAATTTTTTTTTCTTTCAATTTTAATGTTTTAATCTTGCACTGTATATACTTATATATTTTATGGAGGAAATAGATATAATAATAATAACAAAACGACGATGTCTTTAAAGGTATAATGTTTATTCATTTTAAGCTAAAAAAAATATCCTTGCGCAATGTTAAAGCTTCTTCTCTAAGAAGAAATTTTAGGCTAAAAAATATATCGTGGGGCATGTTAAGGTTTCTTCTTTAAGAAGAAATAACAACTTAAAAGACGTTTAAGTTAGAATAGCGGGATGGACTTAGTGATAGTTCGTAAGAGTCTATTTCTATAAACTATGCGGGACGAAATATTTGTACATTTTGGATTTAACTTTTACCTTTAGGTATTGAAAATGCACAATTCTATTGTGTAGGTACCGTAGTTAATACAGTATTCAATAAGCTATTGTAAAAGATCTATTCCATTGATTTTGATATACACTTAACATTTTTACAGGAATTTCGATGTGTTACAGTAATGGTTAGGTTTTATATAACAAAAAATTATGGTAACTATAATTATAATTGTGATTGTAATAATTTCTATTCAGTAGGTCAATGTATGTATAGGAAGTCAAACATCTGATGGTTTACATAATCATTTCGTGACGATTAGTGAGGGAGGACGCCAAACCTAAGCCTGGATAAATCTTACCAATATTACTAATATTTTTATTAACACACAAACTAAACACGCCTTCAATCACAGAAATTAAATAATCTCATACATTTGGCGTTGTAACTTGCACTGCACGATTACGTCACAAAAAAATCAAATAACTGTAAATAAATTGTTTACAAATTGTTATTATTATCATTTCAATTATTATTATTAATACAATTGTTTGGAAGTTTGCATGACAAATGAATAATATATTAACAATGCTTGCAATACACCACGTTGATAATTCTGGGAAGAACTGTCATTTTTGTTGAGAAGACTCGACGTTTCGATTGGGTTGCTTCAATCGACATTAGGAGATACCTATGTGACCAGAGTGTTATGTTTCGGCATATCACATATCTTGTCCTACAAAAATATATATACTGTATATATTTTATTTGAATTCCACATTTCAACAACAGCTGAAAGAATTTTATCCGAAAAGGGGCATACATCTTTAATTGGAAATTGAGAACTTGCTTCTGATTGCTGAACAACTATAGAGTTAAAATGTATTATTAATTATAGCATTCATATCAATATTATCAAATATCATTATTGTTATATTATGTTTATTCATGCAAAACAAACATACCTAATTAGTAAAAATAACCAGTGCTTTGTGGGTCAACTTAATTCAAAGAAACAACATCTATGGTTATAACATAGAAAGAAATAATAAGCAAGTACAGTAGACATCAAAATACCATTTACAATATGATTTTATTGACTGAATAATAATATAAATCTATCTCCGTTGGCAGACATAATATATAAACATAAACAAGATATAACCATTGTTAGATATAAAAATGGTTGAAAAATGGTTAAATGTAAAATGTTAAATATAAAAAATGTTAATATATAATTTATTAATATACATTACATTGATATACTGAATAATAAATAGTATAACTAAAATACTGATAACATTTACATATTTATCAATTATTTACAAGACAATACACGTAAGTTTACATTCTCTTGACAGCCTACATCAACAGTTACAAATCATTATCATCATCAAATAAGTTAATGAAAAAGGGAGATAAAATAACACAATTAAACGAAGTCTTAACTTTTATGATGAAGTTTTTACATCTTCACGTAAAAAAATGAAGTATGCAAACAACGTTATAGACTGCCTTGTGCGCATTCGCTTGGACACGAAAAAACGTTATGATTAAATAGAACTAAATTTATCTTCTGACAATTTACGGTATCCATTATACTGAGTACATATTGACACTTCTTTTTATGTAACGAAGCCACATTTATTTTAGTACACATTTAAACAAATTAAGTTAGCCATTTGACATACAATTAATAAGTAACACTTATTGCTACTACTTGTTTTAGACAATAATGTCTTTTAAACTACTTTTTACATTTATTTTGGTTAAAAACGCTAAAATAAAAACCATAGTGTATTGTAGAGAGGGCAGAACTTTATCTCAGTAAAAAAATATATATTGTTTATCACATGATGGTAATTATTATTATTATTATTATTATTATTATTATTATTATTATTATTATTATTATTATTATTATTATTATTATTGTTGTTGTTGTTGTTGTTGTTGTTGTTGTTGTTGTTGTTTTGTTATTCTTGTGATGAAAACAGTACACAAACAGGTCAATGAAGGCGATATGGTTGCTAAACGAACAAACATGTAAAAATATTTGTTTAATTTGTTTTATTCCCCGACGGAATGAACTCGTCTTCCTTGAGGGGGAGGGGTGCTAGGCTTCCCCGTCGAGGATGCTATAGCCCACTCAGCCCCCATCTGGTGCCACCACTGTTTGTTCCTAAATAGGTACTTTTTCGCGACTCACGAAACAGCGCTAGGGTTATTTTTCCCTCTCTTTTCATTCATTTCAAGTAGGTTCAAACGTTCGCTTACACTTCTGAGTTTGCCAACAAACATTCATTGACAAGATGAAAGCCTGTAAAATATTGGGGCTTGTTTTTTTCTTGAACCATCAGCCCGTTCGGTGGTACATGAAAACTGAACGGCCTGAAAATGTTATCTAAACGCCTATGTCTATTCGTTCATCATGGAGTTTGCCTCAACTGAACGAGAGGCGGTAGCAGACTTCTTTATGAAGGATATGCATATATCCTTCATAAGTAGAGAGATGCAACCAGTTATAGGAGATGCGAGAAAAGGGGTGAATGTAAGGCTAGTTTAACAATGAGTATGACCATCTGAAAAATCATCCTTCTGAACACAGTCACAGACGAGATGCAATGCGAATGCTCGTCGAAGGATTAGTGTCCGAAATCCGTACTTGTATGACAATATTGTCGTAAATGATTTTCCCAAAATAAAAGTAGGCCAATATTAATAATTATGCCTACGTCTTAATACCAGTCATTATATTTTATGATTTCATAGTTTATAATTACGGTAATTTTCATTGTCGTTATATCTACATAAATCTGATTAGTTTTCAATCATATCATAGAAACAGTAATGGTTTGAAATACTTCAATTGATGATAGTGTTTAAATTTGAATATACATGCCTACTTGTGCGAGGAATAGATATATTTTAACGTGCTCATAAGTTTTAAAGCCTAGTTAGGCCTGCTTTAATTATTTAATACAATACCATATTCACTGAAATAATCTTTAATGTATGCAACGAAGCCCTGCGAAAGAAATTAAAGTTATTGAGTTCTTGTTTAACATAATATATATGTTAACGTGCTCACAAGTTTTTTTTTAAAGCCTAGCTAGGCCTGCTTTAATGATTTAATACAATACCAAATTCATTGAAGTAGTCTTTAATGTATACAACGAAGCCTTGTGAGACAAATATTTTAGTTCTGGTTTAACATAATGGTTCGCTTAATTCATTTTGTGGATACTGTTTCTGTTTTGGTATGCCAGCTTTGGGCTGAATTATATCAACCAGGGATGCATTAGATAGGTGAAGACGAGATATTAATGTATTTATATTACTGAATACCACCGATATTCACAATTATCCATGTCACAATTAAATGTCTTGACCAACACTTCAAAGGTAGGCAAATTTAGTTTGTCGGAAGAATTAATTTTATTGTTGAATTTGTCCAGAGAAAATATAATAGGCCTATGTGGATTTAGCTGTTGACGAGCATATTTCAATTAAAATGGACAATGTCGATGAAACTCCTGTCAACAAGCTGTCCGTCGACGAAACATCCTGTCAGATATCTTCAGAGAGGCTCTCTGACAGGGTCCGAACATTACAAGAAACATCCCTCCATTAACATGCAAGAAATGTTGGCGAATTCGTTGTTGGCAAACTGGCATTCGGCGAAATGTGGTGGTGTAGGCAAAATGAAGCGTCAGGCCACGAAAATTAACCATCTAAATATGCCACCTGGTGGCACATCCATGCATTAAGTTCACAAAAAATGTCGTCGAATTGTCTGTCGGCAAATTGGCTGTCGGCGAATCGTCCTGTCGGCAAACTGGCATTCGGCGAAATGGAATTTCTATCGATAGTCTGTCGGCCAAATGTCTGTCGGCCAAATGACTGTCGGTGAAACGTCCGTCCACGCCTGGGGGACGAATTAAAGTCCCTGATATAATAGTGTAATGATGTGTCTAAATATGGCTATGATGTCATCATCTCACGTGCTTTTATCAAATAAAATTTGATAGTCTGGACAGGGCTTAGATCATTGTATTTATTGAAATTCTAAGCCTGATGTTCATTGTAAATGATCAGTTAGATGTTATATATTTTGGTGTGCCACGTCCTAAACATAAAGGAAAATAAGTGAATATTTTTGGAGATCAAACGATTTTTTTTTGTAAAAACAGAGTAGGAGTAAAAACAAAACCAACGTTTTAAAAGAATGTTTTAATCTACTGCAATTTTATGAATTTTGAAATCTGCTCAAATAATTTAGTTTTTAAATTTTACTGTCAAAGTTTAATCACACACCCTGGTAGGCCTACAATGTAGAACACATTCCATTTGAATGCAAATACATAATAACATGTTGAAACAATGACCATATTAGGCAAAAGAAAACTGTTGAATGTCCATTTAATATAGTCATGATATGCCTATATATGATCATAATATGATGTCATCATGGCGTACGTTCCTTATAACTGATCAGTTTGATATTATAATTTTTATTGAGTTTGCAATTCCTAAAACTTAATGAAAATATGTAAAAAAAAAAATTAAAGATCAAATGCTTTTTGTCAAAACAGAGAAGAAATTGCAAAACTAATTTCTTTAAATACTGTACAGTATTTTATCATAGCCTTTCAAACACATTTTTATTGGTTTTAAAATTAAAGAGTTAACAGCTCGAGAAACAGTGTTTAAATTGAAGGATATTGATGATTATGCCAATGCGAAGCACATCAATTAAAACTGTAATATTAGCAGAGTTTTGTAAAACTCTATTTTTGTTTATTAAATGTTATTCACAAGGGCCAAGGATATGACAAACAGCAAACTTAATTACCCTCCTAACTGGTAAACACCAAACACAATGCTCTGGTAAAGGTTGTAATCTCTTTATATTCTACTAATTACTAACTACAACTGTAAACGTAAAAAACTAACGAATAATAATACTGTTTATGACAATAAGAATAACTCACAACTATATAAAATTATATATTATTATGAAGCATTGTAAAAAAAAACATAAACAAGATATAAAAATTCTTAAATATAAAAATGGTTAAAGTAGGCCTAATACATAGGCCTACTGAACAACTAATATGACAATAATGGTAGACTTATAGCGCATTGTTAAGCTCTCTATGCGCATCACATTATCATTACCCTGGTAACATACACATTACAATATTTACTAAACATTTACAAAGCAATGTACTCCTAAGTTTACTTCTCTTAACAGCCTAAATTAATAATAACAAATAGTTTTTTGTATAAGTAATAATTATAAAATGAAATTTTACATACCTACAGATACAATAACACAAATCAATGGGTCTTTATTTTTAAGATAACGTTTCCACGTCATCACGTTATATGCCTAAAGTACGCAAGTGACTTTATAGGCTGGTTGTGCGCATTCTCATAGGAAAGTACGTCATGATGAAATATAACTATACTTATGCTCACAATTAAGTAATTATAATAATAATATGATAAGTTCTACTTATATAGCGCGTAAGGCAAAAAGGCTTCTATGTGCTTTACAGGAAACAGAAATTAAAAAAAAAGGGGTGGAAAATCATGACAGTCTAGCACAACATCTTTAAAGGGGTCACCATCTGCTCCCATTCTAGCGCATTCTCGGACCCTCCCTAGGTGACACGAATAAAGTAAGAGGTTACACATTTGCCCTGCTACAGGCGGCCGGTTACTTGGAGATAAAGGCCCCCTATTGAAATGTGAAAGCCACAGTATGTTGAAAAAAGCAAAGTGTATTTTTTTTAAATGTTAATTGTTATGTCTGTGTCAATAACGGGTATAGGCCTACATTTTGAACCAATTGTGTGACGAAGCCACATTTATTCAAGGGCGTAACCGGTAGGCCTAAATAGATTTTTAAAAATACGATAGCGGTATTACACACAACTGGCTGGACGAACTAGACCTACTAGTTTTAGACAATAAATGCTATTAGACCAGTGGTGGCGCCAGAGGGGGACTGGACGGCTTTAGCTCCCCCACCCACCTCGGTCGGGGAAGCATAGCCCCTCCCCCGTCAGGGAAGATGATAAATTTTGTTGGGGAACAAACAAATAAAAAATAAATATAGTGTAACTCTCTATGGATGTTACTAGATGAGTTCGGACTTCAATGAATGAGCCAGACACCAAGTAAGCTGGATGTTAACGGTTTTATTCTATACAAAGTGTGAGCCTCCAACAAGACGCAGCTTGGCTAGTCGACGAACCCCCACGAGAGATCGAGACTCCGCGGGAACATCCCATAATAGAGTCCTTGAAAGTTTAAAAGGTTACACTACTCCCCCTCTCCCTAAGAAGTGTCCCACTTCTATTATGCATGCAAAAAAAATTAATAATTCATAAGCCTAACTAAGCATTATAGTATAAGCAATCTTCTTATGGAATTAACAGCACATTTATGAAATTAAATATTTATTGTATTTATTTAGCTGGATGTTCCATTGGTTGACATCTGAAGATATTCCCTGAGCAATTGATGACTCCATTGATGAGATTCTTGGTGACAGTTGACATCCATCCATCATACGAAGTGTTGCGTGCGGTGAAGAGAAGCCAAAAAAAATAGTGTCCCAAATAAAAGAAAAATGTGTAGCATATGAATTGCATATGTTACATACTGTATATAAAAAAAATTCCAAAAATAAAGCAACACAGCAGCATACGAAT